TTTAAGTTTTTCACTAATATTAAAGCTTGAATTACATTTTGTTGTCTACTAAACTTCTATAGTTATATAATAAAAACTTAAACTATTCGATGAGTTGGTGAATAAACAATTTATCAGAATTCTCCCGTTCCTGGTTTTAGTGCAACTGTATTGCGCAGCTACTTTATTAACTAACAGGTCACCCAACAGATCACCTAGTGGGTGATATTTTTAAGTTAACCCAATTTCTACCCAGGTAACTTATAATCCACCTGTCAAATCATTACCATTTACCTTACTTTTTTAATATCAGATTAATGAAATAAAAATAAAATCTTTACCTAAGTTATTCTCGCTAATCTGAGATTGAAAAAAGTAGAGTAAAGAGTATTGTGCTTATTTCTCGAAATTTATGATAATATTCACAAAGTATTTTTTTAAAGACAAGTGAAAGCAATACTATCACATTTATTATATAATAAGCAGTATATCGTATATTGTTCTGATAATACAAGATTAAATACTAACAGAGCTGCATATAATATAATCCTTTAGAATACTCATAATATATAAAAAAAGTGTAAATTCTATTAATGGCAAATATTTTAACATCAATATTTAGCATTATCTATATAATTAACAATACTTTTTTGCTAATTCTCTTAATGATATTTGCCAACCTATCTTTTAAATACCGAACATTAAAAATTGAGTACTTGATAAATGAGATATATGTTTTATATTTATTGCTTCAGCTTTAAAATTATTTAATTGTTCTAGAAATTTGCCTTCAGCTTTTTCTTCCATATCTACTTGTAAAAATTCTTTAAATGATGGGATTTGTTTATCATCATTAGGATTAATATTAGATTGTGATGAATTATTTGTATTAGATTCCAAAAATTGATTTGCTAAATAATAATTCAGAGATAAAGTGAAAAAAGAATAAAATATAAGGATGTGGTGACTTAGTGAAGTGGTGAAGTTATCGCACCCCCAAGTGGCAAGAACAGAGTTCGAATCCCACCAATGACGAAAATTCGAATTCTTAGTACAGTGTTACAGCAACTGTGAGTGTAAGGGTGGATTGATATCTGTAACTAGATCACACCAGCTCGTACTGGAAGACTGTGAAACAATAATGTAATGTACGAGTTACACGAAACCCGAGTGAAGCAGTTGTGTAAATCTGAGGTCAGTGCACATAGAAGCCCGCTTGGCAAGACCTGAGTAGAGAGGTAGCAC